CGGGCCGCATCCCAAGTGGTCGCTCTCTGCTCGCCCTCCGCACCCAAAGGTGCCCCTGCCCTCACAGAGAGGCTTCTTCCCTTGAGTTTCTTTTTTTCCTTTAATCTTCACACACACACCAAAAAACCCCCAATGCCTTGCATCTCAGGCACAGCTGTGCCTTTATCAGAAGGGCTAAACTGAAGTATTCCATCTTCTGTTACATTTGTATGGAGAAGGCACAGAGCTGGAGATCCAGGATCATTAGCATAATGACTTCTAAATTACAATAATAATGGAGATCCTTTACCAAGCCTTGAGTAAAAATGCCAAAAGTTTACTGGAACACAAACGACCTCTATCTTAATTGGTATTTGCTGATAGTCAATAATCTCACTGAATGCCACTGGAGATTAAAAGCCAAAGAAATGTAAAAGGTGATACTTGAGCTTGCACGCCCTCAAAAATGCTAGGGTGTCTATCCCTCACTGTGTGAGAAGCACTACCTTCCCAAAATTGTATGCTGTGTAATGATATTTTACATTTATCCAGATCACTCAAAAGCTGTAGTGTCCAGTCAGGTTGGGTTTTGTCTGCGCTGGTGAATTAGGCTGGGTTCCCAGAGGAGTTTGCGCACACATCTATTGTATCCCATTGAGCTGTCGTTGATGATAAGTGGGACTACTTGTGGCAGCACAGCCAAGCAGGTGCCAGCAGCGTTTGCAATGTGATACCCTGGCAAACTTGTGCAACATTTGTGCAAAGTTGAGGCTAGCACCAGCCTTCCCCCCAGCACTGGCGGGGACTGCGGTATAATGTTTAACATGGGCGAATGCAATGTGACTTGAGCAATGTTTAACCCATTTTTTGACCAAATAAATCCCAATTTAATGTTACCATGAACATCACCATCAACAAAAAAAAAAAGTAATCGTTTGCAACGATCCTGTCAATTTAAGCCATGTATTTATTAGTAACACTAAGAAATCACAGACTGATGACTCTTGACCACCTGTTTCAGAAGCCTGGAGTAAAATCCTGCCCCCTGGAAAGCAAGGGCAGGATTTCAGCAGTGTCCAGATTTCACCCCCATTGTCAAAACAACATAAACCTAACGACACAATGTGCAGGACGGGAATATAAGGAAAGCCTTGAAGGTACAGTGGAAAAAGGAGAATGTGCCTTTTTAAGGAACCCCTGGAGCACATTTGGATTAGTTTCATCCAAAGGTGAAACCAGTAAAGGTTTATTCACTGAGACGGCTCAGCATGACCAACACGGGCAGAGGGGCACCCAGAGATTCACTTCAAAAGAGACTAACTTCAAAAGTTCCCTCCCTATCCAAAGCAAAATGCTAATATCCACACCACCCACATTCCTCCCTCCTCCGCCTGGGTCGGTTCCTCACCTGGTGCGGGGGCACGGCTGAGCAGGTATGGCGGCACCAGGGCAAAGGCAGAGCCACCCACGCACTGAGCCTGCCCACGCAGCTTCTGATGGCATTTACGCTGTCAAGGTAAGTTTTAAATGCCGAGTCTGCCGTTTTCAGGTTTTATGAAACTGATTATCTCCATTTGCTTGGTTTTCATGACTCTTAAAGTTTTGTTTATAGGCAGAAGGCCAAAATTACCGTGCTTATTTGAATAATCCCCAAGTCAAATGAAAGAATGATGCTTTTAGCCAAGTATCAAAGTCTCAAAGTAATTTAATTGAGCAGCGCAGCTCCTCATTAGCATCGCACACATTCACATGCCTCTGCAGCACAACACATCGCTAGGTGGACATAAGATTTTTATAGCAGCACTGTTACTTCCGACTTGTATATAGATCAAATTCCCCAAGTTCATAAAGAGCTCCAATCCTTCCCTGACCTGAAAAGCAGCTGTGAGTAGGACAGGACTTTGTGTTTGTTTGGGCTGAGAGGTTAATGGCTACTCCACAGACACATTTTTCAGTTAACTGGCAGGTCATTTTAGCAGATGATTTGCAGGTATTTTGCAACACTTAAGAGATAACCCTGTGGAGTACTTCTGTCTGAGCTTCTTTTTAAAGACTGCATCAGATAAACCAGAGAAAGCAGGCAGGTGAGACTTTCCTGGACTAATTACACACCGTCAAACTCTGCCCTTTCAATTTCCAAACAGCGAACTTCTCCAAATAAACGTCAAATGGAGTTCAGAGCTTGTCAAAATTATTTCAGAATCCTACCCATAAAAAGCTTTAATCTTCCAAATATCTCAAGACATGCAGCAGACAGCCTGTTTCGATCAACATCACAGCAAAGTTTAAAGTTCACACCTTCACCAAACATGAAAATGATGCTGGAAGGATCAAGCTCCTGTTACTTAAGAAAACATTCGTACCTGAGATTTCATCCACTTAAACTGCATAAATCATTAGGCTGAGAAAGGAATAGTTCACATCACCTATTTTTCTGTCAGAACACACTCTTCATCTAGTCTAACAAAACAACTTTGCCAAGCTTTGTGCTCCAAGATGAGTTCTTATCTTCTGCTACCAGATAAAGAGCTACTGGTTCAGCCAGACAGTGACCATGCAATCCCCTGCACCTTAATCCGAATGTTTTTCTTTAAGGTCACAAGCCAACTGTCTGGTTTTGCTGCAAGTCCTCACAGGACATACAAACGGCATTTATGAGCTACCTTACCACATTAGCTGCCCCCCAGCATTTTGGAAGAACCGTGAGTGGCTTGTCAGGTGATACACTGCTGTAAGTTCAGTCAGCTCCCTTAGTATCACTTTCATTTTCCTGAAAAAAAAAGGACCTCAAGCCTCCAAGCACAAGGGAGAGCACGGCTCACTCCCCCGCGGCCCTGCTGCACTCCACGACTACTTAGAGTGAAACAAGCGCTGCCAGGATTGTGCCACAGTTTGATTATTATTATTTTAAACACAACCATCCAAAAAGCATCATCTCCCAAACTGTCATTTTATTTATCTAGTACTTCCAGCTATTTTTTTTTTGCAAAAAGAATACAAATATTAGGTTTAGGTTGCAGAGAGGCAGCGAGGAACCTATCTGGTTAAACTTTTGAAAGTCAACAGACATATGGGATCAGGTCCACAGTAAACTTTACAGAGTGGCACCTGCAGAGGAAATTACTCATTGCATGACTGATGCCACAATTAGAGGCATAAAAAGTAATTCCATGATAAACAAGCAACCTAGCAGAAAAAGAATAATATCCTAAGAGCGTGTACGTGCTTATATAAAAGTATATATTGGACAATATCGAACAGTCTTCACAGACACAAATTCTCCAGGGAAGTTAATGGTACAGTACCCCTCCCTCTCCCTCCCCGCTACAGCACTGATTTGGGGGCTGCATTTGGCCAGTATCTGCCCCTAGTGCTACTAAAGCAACTCCAGTGCAATTAGCCGCGTCACACAGCTATTACACAGCCGTAACTCATTGCTTTCAGAGCTGCCATTTCCCACAGGAACACACGCCAGCAATGCAAACCAGCGCAGCTCCGCCAGCATCACATCCACCCGGGCCACAGCAGCAGAGAACTGGTCTGAGGTCTACGGATCTACCAGCCACACCTCCCAGTATGCAGAAGGGAATAAACATGTTTTGTTGCTAAAAAAAGCAGAGATACCATACCAAATCTCAACTTTTTTTTTTTTTTTTTTTAGAGAAACAAAAAGAGGGAGGGGAGACGGCACTACAGATACATGTGTGTTCCCTACATCTTTGCAAGTTACATCATTTATTACTTTTACGCAACCACATCAGAAAAGCTTCAGCCAAGGCAACACCTAAACTGAGGGAGTATATACCCTTCCATACACGCTCATATTTATTTACCCTTGTGATCCACATTTACTAAACAATTTCAGTGCACCACTTCAATCCACAGCACATGGGCTTGATACATTTCTGTGGTTCCTCTCCAAAAATTTCACAGATAAATTGCTGCCTCAGGAAATTGAAAGCTGCGCTCTAAACTGCAAGTGGGTTATTTCTGCCCATGCCCCCGTACTGGCCTGACAAGCAGAATTACGCGCTTTATGAACCTCGAATGCTCGCTTACCTGAGACCGACACTTTCATAAGGGCTTCCAGGGGTCTGTTGTTGTCCAGATCACGACTGAGTTTGAGTTCCCCAGTGGCAGAGTCCAAAAGAAGCAAGTTTAATTCATTGCCTTGCACAAAGGTGTAGGCCAGGCTATCAGACACGTCGGGATCATGGGCTGGGATCTTCCCAATCACGCCAGAGGGGAAGCTGTTGGACTTGTTAGTCACATAGTTATTGAAGAGGATCTGGAAGTCCTGCAGCACGGGCGGGTTATCGTTCTGGTCCAGGAGGCGGATATGCACTGTTGCCCGGCTCACAAGAGGGGCTGAAGTGGCCTGCACCACGATCACATACTCCGTCCGGCTCTCGTAATCCAGGTCCATCAAGGCCGTGAGGTCTCCATTGAGCAAATCTAGTTGGAAGACCTCAGGGATGTTCCCCTCTACGATCTGATACATGATCTGTGCATTGGTCCCCTCATCAGGGTCAGCTGCACTGATCCGTGCCACAATAGAGCCCACGGGGCTGTTCTCCTCCACAAAGATGTCAAATTCATCCTTCTCAAAGACAGGGGGGTTATCGTTGATGTCCAGCACAGTCACTTGGATATCCACAGAGGCTTTCAGTGGTGGGCTGCCCCTGTCCACAGCAAAGGCCCGCAGGCTGTAGACAGCCACATTCTCGCGGTCCAGCTTGCGCAATGTGCGTATCACTCCAGAAGTGGGTTCGATGTAGAAGTCTCCATCTCCATCGTCACCACCTTGGAACGTGTAGAGGAGACGGCCATTGAGGCCCGAGTCACGGTCGGTGGCAGACAGCTGCAGGACGCTAGTGGAGAGTGGCACATCCTCAAAAACCGAGCCCTGGTAGCGGTCGCGCAGGAAGCGGGGTGCGTTGTCATTGGCATCCAGGATGAGGATCTCGACGTAGGTGGTGTCCGATTTCTGGGGGATGCCATTGTCATGGGCTGTAATGGCCAACGTGTAGGAGGCCTGGTCCTCGTAGTCCAGCTCCATCAGGGTGGTGATGGTGCCTGTGTCAGGGTCAATGCGGAACTGGGGGATGTTATCATCCAAAATGTAAGTGATTCTTGCGTTCTCCCCCGTGTCTTCATCGGTGGCACTGATGGTGACAATAGAGGTGCCGATGGGCTTGTCCTCGCTGACGCTCACTGTGTAGTGGGAGCTCTGGAAGACTGGACGGTGTGTGTTGGCATCTGTCACGTTGATGAAAACTTGGACGGTGTCAAAGCGAGTGCCGTCAGAGGCAGTGACTGTGAGCACATACTGCCTTTCCTGCTTGTAATCCAGGGGCAAGGCCAGCGTGATCAGCCCCCCTCCGCTCTGACTGGTAATGGCAAAACGGTTCCTGGTGTTGCCACTGGTGATCTGGTAAGTCACAACGCTGTTAACGTCCCTGTCCACTGCTGTCAGGGTCAGGACACTGCTGCCCACAGCCGCATCCTCATTCAGTCTGAGGTGATACACCTTCTCTGTGAAGGTGGGGTTGTTGTCATTCACGTCCAGGACAGTGATGGACACACTGGCTGAGGAGGTCATGACTGGCACGCCATGGTCCCTGGCCTCCACCCCAAAGTGATAGTTCTCCACAGTCTCTCGGTCCAGCTCTGCAGCCACCGTGATCCACCCTGTGCTGTTGTTGATCTGAAAAGGGAACCCAGCGTCACCTGCTACGGGGGCACCTCCAGCGGATGGTGCCATCTCTACGAGTCTGTACTCCAGGCGGGCGTTCTCCCCAGAGTCAGCATCCACAGCCTGGATGTGCAGCACCGAGTAGCCCAGAGGAACGTTCTCCAGCACCGTGGCCTGAAAGGGAGTGCTCACAAAGATGGGGGCGTTGTCATTCACGTCCACGACCTGCACCGACACCATGCCAGTGGAGTTGATCAAGGGAGGCCTGCCCCCATCCTGTGCTTTGATCCGGAGCGTGTACTCCCGAATAGTCTCATAATCCAGAGGGTTGATCAGGTCGATGGCACCGGAGAAAGAGTGGATGTAGAACTGGCCTTTCAGGTTGCCGCTCACAATGCTGTAATGCACCTGGGCATTACTGCCCCGGTCCCGATCCGTGGCCTGCACCTGCAGTATCTGGCTGTTCACTGGGGCATCCTCCGGCACCTGGACCAGGTAGCGCTTCTCACTGAACTGAGGGTAGTTGTCATTCTCATCCTCGACGGTGATGTGCACCATAGCCGTGGCACTGAGCGGTCCTGGATCCTTGCCCTGGTCATTGGCTTCCACCACCAGGTGATACTCGGAGACCTCCTCGCGGTCCACCAGGGCTCGGGTCCTCACAACCCCGGAGCGCGGGTCAATCTCAAAGACCCCGTCACCAGCTCCCGGCTCCAGCAGGCGGTAAAGCATGTTGGCGTTGGCTGGGGCATCACCGTCGGTGGCGCGGATGGTCAGCACCTCGTAACCCACCTCCAAGTTCTCGCGGATGCTCTCCCGGTACTCGGGCTGCTCAAACACCGGCTCATGGTCGTTGGTGTCACTCACAGTCACGGTCAGATAGGTGGTGGCCGAGCGGCGGCGCGGGGAGCCGTGGTCGGAGGCAGTCACCTTCAGCACGTGGGTGTCCTTCGTCTCCCGGTCGAGGCTGCGGGTGGTGACCACGCTGCCCGTCTCGGCGTCGATGGAGAAGTAGTCGTTCGAGCGCTCATCGAAAA